CAAGCAGTTTAGTGGAGAGACTGCTGCTCATCCATGAAGGTAAGTTTTACATGTGTTTTGCAACTATAACTTGTATTCTTTAAAAAAAACACCTCACACACCCAAAAAACCCCAACAGCACAAACAGCCTATGTTATAGAAGCTAACATTGTGCTTTATAAAATGAATATATTAACATTCAGGTAAATTCCTTTCTAACTGTAAAAATACACAGTAATATTTAGTCTCAGTCCAGAGCCTGCTGACCAAGCAGCATCAGAATTTATACTAGCTGAAAAAGTATCATCTTATGTTTATTGAGTGTTTACATAATTAGACATTAAAGCTGCATTTTTATTGGCTGTTACAGGGCTTGTTAAAAAGAAACAGAATATTTCAATTTCAGATTAAAAATATATTTAGTTTTTGACCCGCTGTCCCAATATTTTTAAAAATATATTTTAAGTGCATATAAAGCACTTTGGTGGGCAAAAAGTATAAGTTTCATTTTGTAAATTTTATTTACTGAATTGTAAGTATCTGAGAAATAGGAGTCGACACTTAAGACTCCCTTAAAACTCTTAAAGGTGTGTTGCCTTAGAGAGAGACAGACAATATCTCAAAGGGAACTGGGTTTGTTCAGACTGACCTATGTACAGTGTATAAATCAGCCACAAGACAAACATGGGAAATAAGCAGAGAAACTACTGCAATAACCATGGGCACCTCTTTAGGGGTGAACTGACAAGTAACATTCATTTCTCTTTTCCTTCAGAAAACATCTCTGTAGTCTGAATGCTGTTAAAAAACCCCTCTAAAAACAGTTGGTTATCACAAAATTACCAAGGCTAGTAGGATTTTTAAAAGCCACGGACAAAAAAATTAATTGGCATGAAATGTGTATGGCTGTTTTGCCCAGAGAAACACACCAATCTGTTAATTTTGAAGGAGCAGGAGGAGAATAGAGTGACAAAGGCATTATCATGGGCTAGCAAGACCACTAAATGTGGTCCAAGATCATGAGGTATTTTGCTTGCTGATATTTGTTGCAGTGATGCATTGGTAGTGCAGCTTGTAGTGCTGTAGAATGTATTTCACCTGTTCTATGAATAAAAACTTGAAAAAACCTTCAGTTTTTACAGTTGTTGACATCAGGTATTTTCTGGGAGCAGATTTTAAATTTAAACACACAAATTATTTGCTGACCTGACCTTGGTTGTTTGAGTATTTCCCTAATTATTAATAAGGTTTCAGCAGCCCCAGTCTTTATCTTTGAGAGCAAAAAGACGAAGAAAAAGGAAGGAAAGAAAAGGACAAATATGCAAAATGTGAACTTTTTTGGCTTTTTAGAAATTGCATTATCGTGCAAGACTGTTGGAAAACAAAGTAGTGGCTTTTTCTATTTGTATAATTAAACACCTTTCTTTTTTGTTTGCAGCCACACCACCTTCTCTTTGTCAGCTCTGTCGACTATGTATCCGAAATTACATAGGAAGAGCTAGACTGCATCTTGTCCCACAACTCCAGCTGCCAACAATACTGAAGAATTTCTTACAGTATAGATAACATAGTAATTAACCTTCAGAAACTTGAATAACAAGTACTTTTTCTTCTTTCTGTTCATTGTACGTTTTATCTGAAGAACTGCTGGGCGGAAAAAAAGCCTTTTGCATATTACTTAAAAAAAAAAGCTATCTTTGACACCTCGTGTTGGTATATAATAATAGTAATAATAATAATAATAATAATAATAGGGAGCCATTCAGCAACTGGTACTAAGGTGCTAATAAGGCTGAATTGACTAAGTGTGCTGACACTCTGGGAAATGATTGTATAGCTTTAGCTTAACACTTACTAAATAGATTTAGTGCTGTTTTAATTTTGTTTATACTTTTAAAATCTGTTTGACATACCTGAACCACAAACAGTTTCTTCATTATTATTTGTTAAGTTTGTCTATTTGGAGGCATTATTTCATGTGTTTTTAAATTTCTATTGTTTGTGTACCTAAAAATACTTGGTGATAGGTGCACTATATACATTGATAAAAATAAAACAAATAGTGAGAAATTTCCTTTATTCTTCCTCACTGCCTGTGCTGTGAATTGGAATTATGCTGCTGTGAACATAATCACAATTTTTTCAGCCATGCACAGTTTATAGATTCTCTGTTTATTAGCACAGTTAGTAACTTTAAAAATTCCAGAGGAATATTCCTCAAAAGCCTTAATGCTGAGATACTTTTTATCTCCTCTTGTAAAATAGAATTATCTGTGCTCTTTATCTTTTCATAACAATGCTGTATCATAACTCATGGGAATATTAAATAATTATTTGCCTCAGAGAAAGGCATATATTATTGTACAGTATCTGTGAGGTTTCTGAAGGCGTATTTTGGAGATGTGGATACTGAATCTTCAACCTCAGATTCAGGAGGTGGATGCAAGACTCCAGAAGTACATCAGTTCCCTGTATCAGAACAGGTATCACCCTGAAAAGGACATTGTTTCTCTTGCTGTCCAGTTTATAACAATTACCCAGCTGCAGAAATCACGCTGCAGAATTCTAGAATGCTCTATCAGGCATTTCTGTGATGAGGTTGAAATTTTATTGTTCAACTCTTTAGGCAGAGCAGGAATGCTGACACCCCAAAAGCCATTAGGATACCCAACGGATTTCTGCCTCGCTCATGCCCTTGCATGGTGACAATTGCCAGTCATGTCAAAAAAGGTGATCTGACAATTTCATTGAAATACGGTGCTCCTTCTCTGAGTCTTTTCATTGGGTCTTTCTCTGAGAACAGAATACTTGCTCAGTGATGATACTCAACTCCTGTAAAGCAAAGCATGAGACATGTGAAAATTAAACACTTGCCCTTGGTGATTCACGCTCTTCCATTCCTTTTCAGTGACTCCTTTCAGTATTTCTGTTCCTACTGGCAAGATGCTAAGTGAGGAACTAACTATAGGGGAAGTTTGCACAGAGAAGAATGCTTACTCAGTTGCTAAATTCTATCCACCTAATAAAAATGCAGCACTCTGACACTTGTTAAAAGTAATCTTAATTTGCTTCTGTTCCCTGAAAAAACTTTAGCGAAGGCCTTTTCAGGAGTCCCTGTGAAGGAAAGTCAGATGCAAGGAAAAGATACTGCTTAGGAGTCCATAAGGTACATACTCTGTAATGGAGCAAGTTGAGTGGTTTTGGTTTTCATCCAGAAACTAGTAATTTGTGGGTTTATGTACAATACCATTATTGTGTATTACTTCAAGAAACAAGGAAGTGCCAAGCCAGCCATGGCACTGTTGAACTTTTCTATGTAGAATGAGATCATTTAGACCCTCACCTTGAAGTGTGCACAGCACTTTTCAAGTTTGACTCAGGAAAAGTGTCCTTTAAGAAAAAGCTTTCTCACATACTAGACAGTAAGATTAGTTTTCAGCAAGCATGGGTATTCTACAAAACACCCATTCAAAACAAAAACAGATAATGTTAAAAGTTTTACTGAGTGTCACAACAGAGTCCAAGCCAACTCTTTGCAAATAGGTGTGTTTGTGCTCTTGTGGCATTTTCAGTGTCTATTTCCACCATTTCCACTGATCCTTGCTGTCATCCAAAGAGCAAAGAAGACCATCTTTAAGAGTTTACAGGTATTTGGTACAACTTTAATTCTATAGAATGTTAGACTAGCTGGAAGAGCGATCCAGAACTAGTTTACAGTAATTTACGACTTTAATCTCAGGCACTGAGGCAACACTCAACATAATCTTTAATCTTTTGTTACCAGGTAATTATATGAAAATAAGTGTCACTTTGGCAAGCTGAGCCAAGTTGGATGGGCACCACTTCTGTTACTATGTAACAGGAACAAACAACATAAGGAATGGATGTTGCCCTGGCAAGACTATGTACTGGAACACGGCTCTGGCAGATCAGACCACGCTAATGCTCTTGCCACATACCAGAAATACATAGTAATGAAATGCCTGACATTAGTGTTTGGCAAAATTCTTTCCATGAAAATGGTCCCGCGTTTAGCCAGAATTGAAAGGAAAAGGGCTTGCTGTTGTTCTTGTTACGTGAGGGCTCCGTTACAATGGGGCTCTGATAGGTTGAATTCTTGGAATGAACTAAAGGTTATGTATTAAAATATTAGGAACCAGGATATGAAACAGACATTGAAGCATGCCAGAGCACTGTTAAAGACTACTACAGCTACCCAAGTTCAGAAGGTGCCACCTTTACTAGCTGAAGCATCTCTTTTACGAATTACTACACCAGTAAAAAAGCATCACAAGACATTTTCAGGGGGAAAAAAAAGGTAGTGTAATATCTCAATTCTTCAAGGAAATCCAGCTGTGAAATCCTGCAGGCCTGCTGTCAAGGCACTCGGAAAACACACGGAACCTGCCCCGTGTTTATGGCCGGGGCTGCCCGGGCCGCGGGGCGGCTCCGCC